TTATGTTTTTCATTTTTTTATGTACACCTCTGGCATTGTTTTTTATATGTCATTCAAGCATTATTCAAAAAAACGTCTAGAAGGGATACAGCTACAGAAACTTTAAAACAAAACAAAAAAGGTCACAACTTTCTGTTCAACCAGATTTTTTCCAAATTGTGCGCACAGAAAAAAAGACACCACATGTTGAAACTCATCTGCAAAGTTTATTGACACAGTCATCTTTGACTCAAGACAAAACAAAGCTTCATAAACTGATCACAGACTTTGAGAAGAAAAAGAAAATCTGAACACGGGTTTGAGTCAAAAATTCGAATGCCACAATAAGCCGAGACATCTCTCGTAAATCACTACTGACCTCGTGGACTCTATGAATCAATGATTCATTTAGCACAGCCCTTGAATGAACCCTGGGAAAGAGGAATCATACATGTTTGATTGATTTATTCGTTTGGTCCCACTGTTCACCAATGGGTAATGAGTGAACGAAACACAATAGTCAGAAATGCCAAACAGGAAACAACAATTGCTAGGATAAAACAAAATAATCATGATCTTTTCTTTTTTTTATGTGTGTGTCTTGAATTTTAAATTATTTAAGGTTGGGGTGATAATTTATGCAATCCCTGATCACATTTGTGGTTATTTCACAAAACATTAAAACATTTATTTATTTTTTTAAACAAACAATTATTTGGCCAATGTGCAAATATGGCTGTTTTCGTCATATCTAGACCTTGATTAAAATAATCCCAAAGCTAAATAAGGTAAATAACATTTACCACAGAATCTGCAACACACATCGTACTCTGAACACGCTACATAAATAAAGTACATTACAGGGTCGACAACAATCCGACAAGTGAATCCGACAGTGGCGCGTCGGTAAAAAAGGACTGCATGTTTCATTTGTAGGTCCTCAGAAAAAGAAGGCGTGGGTAGCATGAACGTAAAATAAACCAATTATATAGGGGAGAGCGGGGACGAAAGTAACGTTTTTCATAAAAAGATAATGTTTTTAGGAGAAATATATTTTTGCTGTGGTTAATAACTCGCAACAGCGTTCTATCAAAATCAGGTGGTATTTTGTATCAATGTGGAACAACTCCAATATATCTTCACTTTAAACAAAAGTTAAGCATTGTTCCGTTTGACCCCATAGGCAGGGACGAAAGTAGCACACAGGTGGGTCAAAAGTAACAACCAGATTTGCTAGATTAACTGCCTTAATCTTGTCTGTTTTAAACATATCTGATTATGACCTTGTTAATGTTCACTGCAAACATATTTTTGCCCTTTATATTTGCAAAAAATATTAAACTCAATCATTTAATTCCAGCTCCATCAAATGTTTCAAAAGCAATCCAGCAATGCAAAATGTAAAAAATGTCTATCATTTTTTATTTATTTTTACTATTATTGGCAATATGCAATCATTTTTTTAAAACATGAATCCAAACACAGCAAAATCTAATGTGGAAGTGAAAAAGATGGTTTGTCTATTAGTAGTGAGACATTTCGTGCCCATAGGAACTCTTGCCATTTAAACCTAATTCACATTTAAACTGAAAAACACAGACATTGCCAACTTAAGGATGTGTTATTGCACTGAATAACCTGTCGATTGATTATTACTCCCAGTTCAGACTGCATGATTTTAACCCCGATTTTTGACTCTCCGACAGGTTTTGAGAAATCGCAGACAAATGCCTGAATTCATAAGAAAATCGGTGCTCACGTGAAAACAGTTGAACTATCAAAGACGCAATCTGAGAGAATCGCCAATGAGTCGCCGATGCCTGTAAGATATGTGGCATGCTAAAAATCTGGAGCTGTCGGCGATTCCAATCATGCCATGTGACGTGTTCTGATTGAAAATAACATCGGTGATTACCTACAGCCAATAAGAGCGCAGCATCCACTAGTATGGGCCAGAGGGAGAATGGGAAAGATCTTATCAGTGCTTATTTTTGGTCTATTTGGACCCAAGAAATGGAGGAAAAAGTAGTGTAAATTTGGCAGGAGCATCCGTGTCTGTTTGAGGTGTCATCTGAGCAATACCACAAGCGGGTCAAAAAAAAGTTGGCTAATTCCCTTCAAAAGCCAGGTGAGCAAAATAAGTGGATTTTCTATCTCACTTTATTCTTATTATGTAGTTAATAACAATATATATACTACGTGACCTCACGTTGTTTCCATGTCACTTCTCGCGTGTTTGATTGTGAGACGTAGTTTGCGGAACAAGACAAAGTTGTGGGCGATTCTTCCTACTGTTAAGTCATGCAGTGTGAACCCCCCCGTCACCGATCCATCGCACAGTGTAAACAAAGCAGCGATGAAACGCTGCCCCAGATAGTCATGCAGTGTGAAAACACCTGTGACAGCACTACTTTGAAAATCATGCAGTCTGAACTCAGCATAAGTCTGTCTTTATTTGAATTAAAGTTTAAAAAAAATCACTTAATTTAGTTAAACATTCTGTTTATTTTGATTTAAAATGATTGTTTTCTACATGAATATCTTTAGCAGATATTAACATTCTGATATTCTCATTTAGTGTATAAGAGTACTTTATAAATATATTAATTTTGAAATGTTTTTGCTGCTTAATATTTTTGCTTTTAAGACTCTTTGATGAAAAGAATGTTCGCATGAACAGCATTTATTTAGAACAGAAAACATATAACTCCATTCAATTCGGTCAAAGGCTTTCGCTGCATCCAGGATGAGGATTGCTGCCTCAGATTTTTTTGGCTGATTGTTGTATCATATGTTTAATAGGTGGCATGAGTTAGAGGGAGAATCTTCCTAAAATAAAGCCAGTTTGGTCAGAATGAATTAATGAATCCACATGTTTGTTTAATCGAATAGCCAAAATTTTGGCGATAACTTTTTCATCACTGTTAAGAAGACTAATTGGTCTATAATATAATTAGCAAGCACAGTATCATCTCTGTCTTTTTTTTTTTTTTTTTAACACACACAAGCTTCATATAAAGAGTCTGGAAATGTTTTCAGCTCAATTAAATGATAAATGAACAGCATTCTGATTACACAGGATTACTGTGATGCATGAAAAGAAAACAACAACTTGTAGTAAGGAAAAAAAAAAACAGATACAATAATTTACTTTTTGCGCTTAAGAACAGAAATTCGGAGCAAACTCCGGGACACGTTCCTGAAATCAGCGAATATTTGGCAACTCCATCAAGGGTTGCGTGCTGAATTTGCTGTTTGAGCCTGGAAAGCAAATGCTGTCGAGAAAAATCGCTTTGTTAGGCCCAATCCCAATTCAAGTTTTCCTTCATATGAGATCAACAATGTCGACTGCTGTTGCGTTATTTTTTGGTATTTATCTTCAGGAAATCCCTGAAGGCATGTATCATGTTATCATAATAATAAGGTCGTAACTGTACTGTGCGTTTACACTGTGGCCATATTCATCATAGTAAACACAAGAAAACAACATTAACATTATAGCAGAGACTGTAAAAAGCTCATTCCCAGCCACTAGACTTTTCTACAAGGGTATTCCAGTGTCATCGAGTGTCTGATGTGAAAGTATGTTGTGAGACTACTATACAAGAGTTATTATTGTAGATTACTGCCGTTGTATCTGGTGTATTCTGGGACATTTTCGTACCCCTTGGTTTTGAGTGTGGTGCTGAAAAAAATTTCAAGGGCTCTCTAGCCCTTCCCCTTAGCCCTACTCCTTCAAACTAAAGAGAATTAAACAGCCCTACCTCTTCACATGAATGTGCAAAACGCGGGGTAAAGTGAAGGGCTAAGGGGTAGAATTGTGATTGGGCCTTACTTTCGTCCAACATTATGTTCGTCCCCGCTCTCCCCTACACATATTTACATGATAGAAATGTGGGATAACACTTTTCAGAATTTAGAACTTAATTTTGTCCAAAATATCAACATATAAAAGATGGTGTCAAATGGAAAGTCTTTAAAACAATCTACAATCAAATTTTATAAAGTGACAGAAACACAAATATTGCCCTTATATTACAATAGAAAGGAAAAATACATTTGGGGAAATTTCAAGTGATCCAAATGTACAAATAAAAGTGCCAGGTTTGTTTTAACATAAAAAGGGAAAATGAAATTTTCAAAAATCAACAGAAAAATAGGGGCATTTTCAGAACTGTAAGTCCAGAAAATGAGTAAAAATGTTAATATAAATAAGCATCTTAGTAAAACAAAATCATCAATGAACTCCAAACACCTGATGTACTATATATATATATAATCTTTAGTTTATCTTACCTCCCCACAAAAAAAGGCTGGTTCTGATTGTTTACTGCGTAGCCCCTGATTGGTGTATTGTTCAGTATAGCTTCTTGGGTACAAGAAAACCAGCACACAATTCAAGAAATACATTGCTGTTTAAAACCACAGAGGATTGACAAGCAAACTATACAATCATAATTTTCGGTCCAAAAGAGAAAATCATAATCATAAAAACAAAGCGCTATAGAAACATCTCAGATACAGCTATTCTAATAGGTTCCGCTAATTAACATAAATTAACATTCCAAAGTGAATCACCACTTCAAACCACAGAGTAAAACTCAATAAAAAGATCCTGTCAAGAGTGACGGCATGTTTTTTTTTTCTCTCAACAAGGTGTTAGCATTGCCTGAAGGAGAGCTGGCTAATACTAATAGCAGCACAAATTTAAGCGCCAGTCATGACGATTGCTTAACACAAGCTAACCGGCTAGTTATGAACAATATTAGCCTACAGTCACTGATATTCCTCTCGGGCTGCTTTCAAATCCACACGCACACACAATATTGTGTATTATTTTGCTTATTTGCCATGAATTACAAAATGTAATTGGTTTTTGAAAGAAGCGTTAACCTGACTGAATATTTTTCGTCACACCAAAAACATGGTCGTCACATTTCAGCAAGTCTTGCATAAAGAAAATGGGTGTATATAAATACAGTTGAAGTCAGAATTATTAGCCCCCCCTTTGATTTTTTTTCTTTTTTTAATATTTCACAAATTATGTTTAAAAGGGCAAGTACATTTTTAAAGTATGTCTGATAATATTTTTTTCTTCTGGAGAAAATCTCATTTGTTTTATTTCGGCTAGAATTAAAGCAGTTATTTTTTTAAACACCATTTTAAGGACAAAATTATTAGCCCCTTTAAGCTATTTTTTTCGATTACAGAACAAACCATCATACAATAACTTGCCTAACAACCCTAACCTGCCTAGTTAACCTAATTAACCTAGTTAAGCCTTTAAATGTCACTTTAAGCTGGATAGAAGTGTCTTGAAAAATATCTGGTCAAATATTATTATTTATATTTACTGTCTTTATATAAATATTTACTGTCTTTATGGCAAAGATAAAAGAAATCAGTTTTTAGAAATGAGTTATTAAAACTATTATTTTTAGAAATGTGTAGAAAAAAATCTGCTCTCCGTTAAACAGAAATTGGGGAAAAAAATAAACAGTTGGTCTAATAACTCAGGGGGCTTATAATTCTGACTTCATCTATACACACATTTGTAGCATGTGTATATATATATATATATATATATATATATATATATATATATATATATATATATATATATATATATATATTCAAAATATTGTGCAGCCCAAAAAACAACAGTGCTAACACAGACTTTTTTTTTTTTTTACTCTTTTTCTTTCTCAGCACAGGACACAGAGCCAGCCTTATGGCTATGTTCCACCTGTTTTCCTAATGTGTTTCATTTTAATCAATTTGGTATTTCATCAGTGACCTGAGCTCGCTATTATCCCCACACAGGCACACCATTTTTTTGGTCTACGCAAACTGTCAGCTGTGGGGGGTTGCTGGAAATATGGATTAACTGGGCAAATCAAATATCCTCTCGCCATAAATGACTCTTTCATTGGTTAATGCCTCGAGGCTGTTTTCCTACTTCCTAGATTTTGCTCTCCATGGCAACATTGCAATTGCTTTCACAGAAAAACCCAGAGCTTGCGTGTTTGGATCGACAGTCAAGAACAAGTTCACAGTAAATCAAGATTTGATTGGGCCAACATGTTTTTGGGGTCGTGAGATGAGGTGCTCCATTTTAACCGCACTACTCTATGGCAATTACATTTGCCAGCACCATTGGATCAATGCAAATATCCAATTTTAATGTTATTTATCTGGAAACGACTTGTTATATAACAATCTGACTCATTGGTTAATCATTCCTGTGTATTGTTTTAACAAATGATATCTCTTTAATTTTACCACAACGTCCTGTTTTTTGAACACACACACACACGCACACACGCATAAGCAAAATTATAGCGGACCATTTCACCTGCTACCTACCAAAGCTTCAGATTACATTACGAAACACATGATCAAATAGTCATCAATGCACAATGAGACCTCCAGATCATTAATATGGGTAAGCGTTCAGCTAGCAGGCTAACGCTAGCATGAAATGGCGAGGTATGAGAAGCACTGTACCTTTACATCTGTATTTTGTCTTCTAGTAATGTTCGTCTCAGCTCAGCACAGACAAAAATTGTGAAACACTGAGACCTCTTTCTTTTTTTGTGTGAATTTCATCAGTGCCTTAGCTGATCTGACTAACTCCAAGGACAGCAGAGGAAAGATAAGAGAGACTGTAACACTCCCTATTGAATATGATTCCAGCTTTAAAGGATATGCAGCGACGCTATGAATGAGATTACTGCAGTTTGCTATGGCTCACGGAGCGTGTCACCTGAATTCGATGAGATACTGTCCATGATTTACGTTAGCCAGATGCTTTTAAGGAGCAGCAACATCACTGGTTACCATAGCAACAGAGACTTGAGCATGAAATACAACAGACCTTTGTGAATGGATGCCTGAGCCTTCAAGAGTACAAAAGTCATCGCGTTGGGAAACGGAGACCCATGCAGTGCCAGAGAAAGTCCCTGAACTGTGACACCGACCCTCTCTTGAAACAGAGATCTATTAGAGATCCTTAATGGCCCTTTTGAAACGTGGGTTTTGCGGGGTGGGGTTGAGGGAGTTCCCCTAAGTGCTCCGGTAGGTCTTTATAATGTCTTTGATAGCCCTCCTACAGATGGGACAGCTTGCGTTGGCCATTTTTTTGAGACGCAGGCCGCAGGTGTAGCAGAGACACATGTGTCCGCAGGTGTAGATGACGGTATCCACTGTGTTTTCATAGCAGATAGAGCACTCGTCCAGCCATGAGCCTGAGGCAGATGGGAAAGTTGGTGATTTGGGGAGATTGATGGGCGAGTTGGGTGTCGTTCCTGTGACAGAGAAAGATGGGGCAATTTTGATTACCATTTACTCGTTTAGAACTGTACCAGTTGCTCCAGTTTACTAGTAAACAAGACGCTACAGTGCTCAACCTATGAGTAGACCCCTCATTTAAATGAATACTTTCTATACGCTTATTTCACGCGCCCGCCATTTTAAAGAACCAAAGTTAGGAAGAAACCCAAAAGTATAGGGCCAGCACTGTAAACATTGCAGTAACATGCTGTGGACTACAAACCTCCAGTTGTTGTCGAGATTTCAAAATGCAGAAATGGTGTAAACATCACTTTAATATCATTCAGTAAGTTTAATTTAAACTGTTTGTGCCATCAATCCGTCTGTTCTTGTCTTGTTTCTTTTCTTTGAATTAGCAGGATTTGAACGCAAGTAACATAAGACAGTCCAGTGATGTTAATTCGAAAATGTTTAATAACAACTTAATTGAACTAAAAAACTGTCTTGCTTCTATCTTCATGACACAACTTCTTCCTTCCCGGAAGTGAAATCAATATATACTCTATATTAAAAATGTAATTACTTTTAGTAAAATATTTGCAAGTTTTATATACTTAAGCATATAAAAGTAATATGCTTAAGTGTCCTTCTAGGCTTCAGTTCATGGCACTAGTTAGACACTGTGGGGACGCTTTCTAGCTTCAGCCTATGTAACCCGGTGAGCAATAAAACGCTGTAGTCCTCTGTAGTACACCCTCGTGTTGTCTGTAATAGTGTTGTCCCGGTACTGAAATTTTAAAAATGTCCATTTCCCGCTAACATTCAAGTGCAGCTGAGAGCGTTCATAAACCACTCTTCACCCAGTGCAAACACAGATACACGGACACTGGAGAGTGAAGCAGCCGTGAGGATCAGTCGAGTTATCAAGCAGATCGCTCGTCTGTGTTTGTACTCGGTAAACAGCGGAGGGTGAACTGATGACCTTCTTGGCCAATCACAGTCATTTCTGTTGAGCATGTTTTAAGGAAGCCATCAACAGTGCCTTAAATGTTAACAGGAAATTGGCGGTTTTTCTTTTAGTTCAGTATCGTGACAAGTCTAATATAGTGAAAGAATTAGGTCATTAACTTGAGTTTGACTAATGGCATCTAAAATGTGTGTTTGGGAAAGAAAACGTAAGCTAACTAGTGCACTTTCCCTTAACTTAGCTGAAAATGAGCTCTGATATCCCCTTTTATTTTCACCATTCATTCAGAATGGATCTTCGGGTCATTCGGAAAGCGGTGAAATTATCAATTTGTGTCACTTTCTTTCGCTACTAAGATATACAGCCAGGTACACAACGTTCCCATGTAACTCCCAAGGATACTTCCGAGTTTTTTCCCACCGCAGCCTCGATTTTGCTTTCAAAAATGGCAGTTGCGTGAAATTAGTCTTTAGGAAGCTTTATAATATTATATGTGTGCAGACATGTTAGATTAATCAGCACTGAAGCCAAATCTGGAGCTAACCTAACAAAATAGCTTATGAAAACGGTCAAAAAAGAGTACACCCAAACATATATGTAATGTAATGTAACATATTTATATGTAACATATATTTATGGCCATATACTCAAAACGCTTTACAATCATGAGGGGGGTCTCTCCACACCACCATCAGTGTGTAGCAACCACCTGGATGATGTGAAGTAAGCCACAGGACAGCAGCGCCAGTGCACTCACATGGGGAGGCCATGATGAGAGGAAATTCGGCCAGAATATCGGGGTTACATCCTTACTCTTTAAGGGTATTTGTGATTTTTAATAACCACAGGGAGTCAGGACCTCAGTTTAACGTCTCATCTAAAAGACGGTGCTCACTGATGGTATAGTGTCGTCTTCACTGTACTGGGGCATTAGGACTCACAAGTTGAGTGCCCCCTGCTGGCCTTACTAACACCACTTCCAACAGCAACCTTGTTTTTCCCATGTGGTCTCCCATCGAGTTACTAGCCAGGCTCAGCCCTGCTTAGCTTCAGTGAGTAACCAGTCTTGGGCTGTAGGACGATATGGCTGTATATGTTCGTGAAAAAAATAAAAATAAAAAAAATCAAGAGAAACAAAAAATCTAAATCTAAAAAATGTCTAAAATGTTGTTAAAAATGTTGAACTTTGTCTTTTTTTTTTCAATATTTTGCATGAGTTTTTATGTATTATCTTTTTATTTTTCAAGATGTTTGGCGACTAAAATATAATTTTAATAAAGATGCATTTGATAAATCTGTATATATTACCTAAATTCATTGAGAAATGGATAAAGATACAAATTTAAAATGGCATGTACTGACTTATGTTGAGAACTGTATATGAAGTGTTCAAATCTTTTGTGTGAGAAAACATACACAATGCAACAAATCACATAATCTTAACATTTTCTTAAATTGATGCTCAGACTTGTGTACCATACCCCTCATAATCAGAAAATAAACAATGTGCTTCTTTTTTTTCTAGGAAGTCCTGAAATATGATAACTCTGTCTAAAAAAAGCATGCAGACCTTCAGTGGAGCTGCAGAAGGCAGCAGAACAACCACGTTCATGAAGACTGGGCTCTGGACTTCCACCACACAGGCCTGAGGGAGAGGCAGAGGGCGAACCAGGGCTGGACGGGTCACGAGCATCACCCAAGAAAGTGGAGCCTGAATATGCACATATAAACAGGTGACAAACAGTCAATATGATTGAGTGCTTTTCAGTTCTATTGTAGCAATAATGAATTCTATAAATGGCTTCCCCACAGTCTCAAGACATGCAGTAGGTAAATTGTTACTTAGATTTTTTGTCTTTTTTCTAGTCCAAATATCTAACAATCCTTAAATCTAGAATAATTTTCTAGACAAACAAAACATAATGTCTTGTTTTCAAAAATAATATGCCAAAATGAAGTGTGTTTTTCCTTAAAAGAAGCTAAATAATCTGCCAATGGGTTAGGACAAATAATATTATGTCAATAGGAAAAACAAGATTATTTTGCTTAACCCATTGGCAAAATTATTTTGCTTGTTTTAAGATAAAACTGACTTAATATTGGCATGTCATTTCTGAAAACAAGACATTATGTTTTGCTTGCCTATAAAATGCTTCTTGATTTAAGAAATTTGAAATATTTGGACTAGAAACAAGACAAAAGATCTAAATAAGAAACACATTTTTTTCAGTATAAATTGGCCGTAGTGTATTAGTATGTGCATGAATGAGAGAGTAAATGGGTGTTTCCCAGTGCTGGAAGGGTATCCATTGCATAAAACATATGCCAGAGTAATTGGAGGATCATTCCGCTGTGGCGACCCAAGATAAATCATGGACTAAGCTGAAGGAAAGTAAGTGAGTGAGTACAAAAAACAATATTGTATTTTATCATAAATAGCAATATCAAATATTTGATTATGAATTTGATTGCACAAACATTCTATAAATCAGTCAACAGAGCCTTCCCTGAAGCACAAATTGTACCTTGTAATTTAAAGCAGCACTCTGGACATATTCCAGATATTGTCACTATAAAAAAAAACAAAAAAAAAACTTGTATATATTTGTGTGATATAAACTGGTTGGTAAGTGAACGGACCGTGGGTAGACCTACTGAGGATATTTTTCATATCAGAAATGAAAATGACATTTCAAAAGTTCAAAAACGTATAAAGGAAGCGGTTCTTGTCAACAACTGTACTCTTGTCATACTCCTCGCAGAGCTACAGTAGACATATGGCATGACTGCACAGGTGTTGTGTTTGTGAGTGTGATGGGGCGCTTGTTTCAGTGATGTCAGTGCATTGTTTTGGCTGCTGGAGCTCAGGATGGAATCTGAATTTGACGTCTTTAAAAGATCATGCTGACCTGAGATTCATCAACAGATCCGAGAGCAGCAGACCTAAATTATTATACGACTTGAATAGTTCTCTCAGTGACCGAAACATTTAGAGCAGTTATTGACCTAATAAATATTATGAATTTAATATTAAATATTAAATTAAATCAATTCAGCCTTATTTCTGATTGTTTGTTCACATAACAACCCTGTAGAGAAAGATACATATTCAGTTTTGTATTAAACGATACCTTAAAATAAGTTATCAAAACTGAACATTATACAACCAATTACTGGAGGGATGGAATTCTGTTAAGGTTCTAATAGAATTGTTAATGGACTCATTAAGGAACTCATTATTTGGTATTTCAATCGAAACCAGACTCATTTATTTGCTTACAATCTTTTAATAAGTGCCACAGTAGGATTTCTGGGCCTTTAATGAAGTCTGTAGATCTGAAACCAAATTTAACGCTGCAGTATGTAAGTTTGACACCCAGTGGTTGAACTAGGTATTGCACTCCTAGTTTAAAACACATGCAAGCGCAGGTTGCCAGACTGACAACATCAATATGATGACTATCAAGCCTAAAGGCTGATTTAAGTTGTGTTCTAAATGAAAGCAATGGCGCGCGATAGTCGGAATATTTTCCATATTAAAAGAGTTTTTGTCCTAACTAACACCTGAACTTTATATTTTAGAAATGACTTCTATTTCTTGCATCTGAACAACAGGATAAATGACAATGATCGCCTCAGGTACACCACATGTGCTTTATTCAGTGTTAAATGCTAATAATGTGAGTTTGAATGCCATTGAATGCCAGCAGTTATTTCACCTCAGAATAATATTTCACCTTGAAAATAAAATAATCCATTTGAAATTGAACTTTAGAACTGTGACTCAGTGCAAGCCAACACATATCAGTGATTCATCATCTACATTTAATAATGTTAAAGAGGTATAATATGCATTAATTAGATTATAAACCTTACCATTTTGTTGAAGTGCAGTGAGTGCACTATTCTGTGCTTCTAAAGGGCTGTATTTAAATTTATGTTGTCTCTCATCTGGTGCAAACAGCCACAGTCTTATCACTGAGTATATCTTCATGTAGCAATGTTGTTAGTACATGGGGTTACAATGTAACCTGCTCACCTAATGTTTACCTTCACAATATGTATATTATTTGCTAATTAACAACCATCTCATGTGGAACTCTGAATCTGCATCTCATTTCGGAGGCTCTTACTGTCTACCAGAGGTCGCATTTCGGTCACGGACGCATACTTTGAGCACCTTTATGACTGAATTAATGAAATACGCTGTTTTTCACAAAGGCAACCTCGGGTGCTGAAATTAAATTGCCTGAAGTGGCATTGGGCGGGTTAAATGACCAAAACGAAGACAGCCGTTCTGGCACGTAACAGACATTTTCAAAGCAGAAGATCTGACTTCAACATTGTTTTTCAGATAAACAAGAATGTTCACTTAGCACGTGTCTTAAATATCTGCAAACATATGATATTTTTATGCTTTAGAAGAGGCAAAAAACGTACATACAGCACCTTTAATTAAACTGACCTTATTTCTGGTATGCTGGTTATTCTTATACATATAGGATATACATTATTGTATGAATTCTGAACTGAAAAAATCCAAGAAGTTCACCCTCTCATGTCAGCCTATTTGCATGCATAAGTCTGCATTTCCTCTGGATGAGATGTATGACAAATTTAAACTGGAGCCAGTGAGATTCTGTTTTGGGTCCATCATTGGTGTGAATTATGCATACGCGTTCTTTGCTCACGTTTGCATACAATATGCAAATCCTGCAACGTGATCCCCTATTAAGCTGGCCATCGGGTGAGGGGTTATATATGGGGTGAGGTTCACCGAGCATGATCCTTTATGAGTCTGACATGCCATTCCACCTTCCTGTCATTCCACACATGCACATATCATAAATCCCCCTTCTCCAGGCCTCAGCAACTGGCCCTGGATCACAAGGGCCCGGCCTCTTCAAGAGCATCTCTACTAGATTAACAGAGACACAAGAACAGCTGAGTCTCTCTAACCTCCAAACGCAGAGGGAGAGACTTCAAAAAACCTATTAGAGAAAGTCAGCCCTCTCTAAAGCCCTTTGTCATGCATAAAATGAGCACTATGTGTCAACATGGCAGAAAGTCTTTTCTACATTTTGAATAGCAAAAGGGTACTGACTAAACCAGTTGCGTGGTATAAGCAGTCACATAATTCATTTGTCAAATAGTTCAGTTTTTGTGTGTGTGTGGAAAGTACAGGTGTGATTTGTTAGTCATAACTTATGCTCTACATCAGGGGTGTTTGAAATGGAATTACACTATGCAGAAATGTTGAAAATGTGGAGATGTTGCTCAACATAGAAAAGATTGAGATGATCTAAAATATTTCACTATTTTGGTGTCACATGATCGTTGACAAATCATTTCAATTTGCTCATTTAATTTTTAAAGAAAAAAACATTATAAGCAATCGTGAGATCAGTGGCTTTCGCAATAAGTTTGAAATAATGAGATACTAAGGGGTCTATTTTAATGATCTAAGTGCAAAGTCTAAAGAGCAGGGTGCAAAAGCCTTAAGGGAGTGTCCGAATCCACTTTTGCTATGTTAAAGATGTAAAAATATGCTCTGCGCTGGTCTAACAGGGTGGTGCTTATTCTCTTAATAGGTTATGGGTGTGTTTTGAGCATAACCTGCATTAAACCAATTAGAGACTCATCTCCCATTTCCTTTAAGAGTCAGTCGTGTTGCGCCATGGCACATTTGCTATTTACATGGTAGACTTTGTAAGTGGAAAAACTGAACGTTTAAAGAACGAAGATAAAGAAAGAGCCTCTTCCAATAGGTCCTTACTTTCTCTTTCTCTCTTTCGTGGATAAGGAAACTGAAGACATTTATTAGCCTACATAATTAATTTAATTTGTTAATTTCAAAGATTTATTTCAAAACTATATCTGATTTCAGTTCTAATTTCCAGCACACAAATAAATGAACAATAATAACAAAGTTTAGTCAAAAAACTGAGTTATATCCAAACACATGTGCTATACCCTGTATGGTCTAAAGGTGAGAGATGGAGAGAATCGAAGATAATGTTTTTATTGTGTACATTACTTTCACGTGTTTGTACATTTAATTTAATGATTTAAATATTATATACATCTAGGGTTGGGTATCGTTTGGGGTTATTTCGACATTGGTGCCTGAACCGATACTTTTGAGCCACAAAATTTTAAGACAAAAAAAAAAGTAATTTTAATCAATTAATTTTAATACAAACAAGAACCACAGAAAATATTTTATGGGAGTGTAAGATTAATTTTATAAAGCTACTTTGACATTGCAAGACATGAAAGCATTGCCAACACTTTTCGCTTTCCGTACATTCAGTTGTGTTTGGGTGTGTCTGCATACGCTGTTAGTGGACACGCTTCATAGAGGGGGAACTGGAATTCCAGAAGGAAACAAAATGAACTGCTACACCCCCTCAATGAAGTGTATCACGTATTTTTTGTGGTTCTTGTTTATATTCTTAGCTTTTTTCTAATGTCTGAGTTTATGCACCCTAGTTTAATATTGCATTTAGGCCTACAGTTATGTTAGTCCTTTTCATTCTCAAGTTCGGAAAAAATACGTATTTTTAGAACCACTTTGCTTTCCATATATACAGTTAAGTTTAGGTGTGCTGTTAGCGAACACGCTTCGTAGAGGTGGAACTGGAATTCCGTAAGAATCGACTGCTACACCAGCATGTTACTAGGGGAGGGAGAGGTGTAAATAATTATTTACATTATTTATAAAATTTCCAATTTATTGTATTTTATAAACACCTACCCCCACCCCAACTCTAAACCCAACCGTCACAGTAAAGTAAAAACAGTAGTTGTACTGAGTATTAGTTATGCTATCTATTAAATTACCCAATAAATTGTTTTTTTTTAACGCCTTCTCCCACCCCAACCCTAAACCCAACTGTTACGGTACTGTAAAAATGGATTGGTAAAATAAAGAGGTGGATTTCAGAGGTGCCAGATACGGTTCCGGCTTGTTCCGGCACAAATACCCAACCCTGTTTACATCAGTAATCGATTTAATCCTAACAGTTAATCACTATATTCATAACAAACATATTTCCGGATTGAGTAATGATTTACCTTTTATATATTTTAATTTTGTGCATTCTGAATTGGGATTTATTTTTCCTGCAGCTTTCTTTATTACAACTATCTGATATATAGACCTTTTTCTTGGCAGCAGCAAGGAGGGTGCCATAGCAACCAGCGTCTTCTAGTAAAATGTTTAGAACTTCCGTTACAGCGTTTACAAATAAGGTAATTTGCAATCCGAAAATGGGTTTCAATAGCGTTTTGAGTGGATTACAGAGTGTTTTGTGACACACAACTTTAAAATGTGAGTGTTAAAGCCGTTACAATGTCAGATGTGGTTCAAACGCGAGAGAAAAACGTTCTTGTAGTTCATGTGTCTGCTGTCAGAAATACAGTGTGTGTGTGTGTGTGTGTGTGTGTGTGTGTGTGTGTGTTCCCGACCTGTCAGCTGTTAGCTCAGCGACTCTTCAATGTGTGCACATGCGCACACACACACACGCGCGCGCACGAGCAATACTTCACCGCATTATAGTGCAAATCAGATTACTAGCATGAAACTTAAGAGGTATGCAAGTCATGCAATTTACAAAAATGACCAATAAAAGTCCGTTACTGATACTCTGCTGGCTGATTTTCATGTTGATTGTAATCGGCAGCTGTTTTTGTTTCATTTAGTTAGTTTGTGTTGTGTAGTATTTACCACAGTATGTGTTTTTCTGTCATTTCAAAACGCCACTTGATTTTCAGCTTGTGACACTTATTCAATACATATGTTAGTGGGAAAGTACCGGCTACATGTGTGTGTCAAACATTTTAATGAATTACGTTTGTTTGGGCTGGTTATACGTTTGAAAGAAAGAGAAAATGTTGACTTTAGTGATGACGAGGCTTCATTTAAATGGCACAAGACGCAGTCTAACAACGAGGAGAAAATGCCTCACAGCAGTTGTTTACAATCCTGTTACATCACATTTCTTTGAATGGTCAGTCCAGGAGGTGGCGCTGATTATCAACAGTATTAGTTAAAACACATTAAAAGCAAATGAAATAAATTAAAACTATCATTTCAAAGCTGTACAAATGGGACTCTTTACACGCATCAGCTGCCCACCGGAAGTTCTTAGCATTCTCCTTGCGCATTTATGCAAAGCATAATGGGTAATTTTACATTCTAAGAAAAAGGTCTATAATAAAGCAAACTTTTTTGATACTTTCACATCTCTGGTATCTTGGCTGCAAGTCCCATTGGCTAATTGGGGATATTTTTCCAATCACAATTGCTTAACTTTACCACTTGCAGCCTTTTCAAATGTTATTTGTGGTTTACTCATATTTCAAGTCTTTTTGTAAAATCTTGCCGCTGTTACAGTTGAATAAGCACAGCGAGACAACAGCTAAATGATTACAATGACATTTTGAACCTTGAATCTTGAAAGAACAAAAACATTATGCTAAGAGGGGAAATAGGAATGAGAAATGGAGAGAGGAGATGTAAACGAGAGAAATGTTCTCAAATGAATGCTCTCAAATGAAGTGTGAATCGCCCACTCTCCTCTTCACTTTCTCATTTCCTTTCCTTCACCGCATGCTAATGAGATGGTGCGAGTGTGTCGGTGCGGCACAGAAAGGGAGGGAAATGTGCTTCCAGTGACAGACGTCTTGGAGAGTGCATGCAAAGCTAACGGAGGTCACTGCCCACCCACACAAACTTCTGTAATACTACCTGTTTTTAGCCGTGGATGAGTTTGTGTGCATATATTTGTTTGGTTTAAACTTTACTGAGAGCGTGTCGGTTGCAGGTGTGTGTGGGTGAGACCCGGAGCACTGTCTGGTGTTGTGAAAGGTTACTGGAGTGCATCTGTTTTTTTTTTTTTTTAATCAACAATCTGAAGTGATTCAGATGAGAAATTTAAATGAAATACATATAAATCTGATACCTACAACAGAAAAATCCGTTTTGAAAAGGTCTATAATTGCATTTGTATATTATAGATTATAATATATAGTGGTTCAGTGGGTAGCGCTGTCACCACACAGCAAGAAGGTCGCTGGTTTGAGCCTCGGCTGGGTCAGTTGGCATTTCTGTGTGGAGTTTGCATGTTCTCCCCGTGTCCACGTGGGTTTCCTCCGGGTGCTCCGGTTTCCCCTACAAGTCCAAAGACATGTGCTACAGGTATATGGGTATTAAGCTAAATTGTCCATAGTGTATGTGTGTGTGTGTGTGTGAATGATTGAGGGGGTGTTTCCTAGTGATGGGTTGCAGCTGGAAGGGCATCCACTGTGTAAAACATGTGCTGGATAAGTTGGCGGTTCATTCCACTGTGGTGAATTAAGGTTAATGAAGCGACTAAGCCGAAAATAAACAAATTAATGAATATTATAGATTAATTTAAATGCATTGCTTAAGAAAATATTTTGGGACTTTCTTTAATGCATTTGCAATTCTACTAATGATCTTCCTGTGCATGCTTCTTTAAATTCAATTGATCAGATAGATTGTTCTACCCCAAAATGGCATCAATGGCTTAGTCAAAGTGTCCAAAGTTTTTTTGTCTGTGATGTTAGGCGTGCGATTTTCGAGAGATTATGATTCGTTTGCAGGCATCCGGGAGTCTCTATGCATATGTGGGAGACTCCCGGAACTTACGGGAGACTTGGATGTCTGCAAGCTTCTTTTAACAACATGCTTGATATAATTAGCTATGTTTCCATCCAAAGATTCAAACTAAATTAATGCACAAACCTAAAATATCGCATAAAAGACGTGCGAATAAAGTATTGTTTCTATCCAAGGAGTCAAAGAGAACTTTCTGATTAACTGGCGCAAAATATACAAAGCAAAATGGAATTTACTGCAGTAGGAGAAGCTGTGTGAATCTTTTCTTTATTGAATAAATTACTTGCACCTCAGAAGACAGCGTGAGACGCGGAGCACAGGCGCTCTTGACAATTATTGAGGTCATTAATTATATAATAACACTAATACTGAAACGGTTAATTTTCATGCATTATGCGCATACATTTTTATGCACATTTTCAAAACTGACGAGCATATTGGCATTTCCATCAACCGTTTTTTTTTTTTATGCGCATCTCCAAAATGTGCATAAAAATATGTGGATGGAAACGTAGCTATTAAAAAGGTGGAACTAGACTATGTAAAAAAAATGGCCAGAGTATAATAGATTATTGAGGAAACATTATTGAGGATTGGTTATTATGCATGGTAATTATATGGCTCCACTAAACATAATTCATTGTGGCATCAGTCTAAGACATGCCTTGTTTAAAAGGTGGATGAGGAGCTTCTGTTCTCCAATTGGTCAGATATTGTAAAACTAGCCATGGAGGACTAAAAACCAATCTGTTTTTAACATTCTTGCCATTTACAAATCAATACGGCACCATAGTTCAAATAGACTGTGCCAAGATATGGCTGATATTTCGTAGTCTTAACCATGCACAAGTCATTTTTCAGTCACTCCTTCATATGTTTCAGTTAGACTACATTAAGGATTTTGTTGAAATTATCATGTAAAAGCTTTAGTACTACTGAAATCATGGTTTGATTTTTGGAAATTGGATTTTACCAGGCGTAACTATTTTACATTTGTCCTTTAGTGGCTAATATATACGAATACACACAAGTTTTTAAATACACAATTTTTAAAAGGAGGAGTGGAACCAAACCCCACTACTAAACCCAACTGTCATTAGGGGATAAGCAAGTCTAACTAAATTGTACGAATGAGATCGTACACATTCATGTAAATTAGCAGCTTTATCAAAAAGTTACAAATTGCTGTGAGACAGAGTTGGATTATTTGATGCAAAATACATCAAGCATGCTTACCCAGAATCCTCAGCTGTGTGACAGCACCATGCAGTCCAAAGAACATCCAGAGTGGTCTTGAGTTGTCCACGCACACCTGCATCCCCACATTGGTGCCATTATGGCTCAGAATTACTTCCCCTTCCTGGGTGACCAGGAAGCCCAGTATATCAGCACTTTGCAAAGCAGTAGGCACCCTACACACCGCCCAGAACTCCTTACGGTCTACCAGCGCTTCAGGATTGTAAGGGAGGTCGCTAGGACGAAGCACTGCTGGGTCACAGGATGTCACGCCATATGAGAGGGACCCAAATCGAGCAGGACTGGACTTAATGACTTTGATGAAGATGGTTTCGCCAATTCTTAACGGGCGATCTGTGAAGACCAATGTGCGTTCTTCGCGGTTGTGTTCAGATCGTGCCACGGTCTGTTCATTGAGGATTTTAATGTGGGCACCTCGGAGCTGGTGGAAACGAATGTCACATTCCAAGGTGTGAGGAAGCAGTGACGACTGCTGGGAGTTCATGGAGTTTTGAGGAATGGGACAAGTGACGGGAGCAGGAGGGAGTCGAAGCCTGGAGTCATCTTGTGGCAGGTTTAGATCACAAAGGCTGACGGACAGACGGGAGGTGTCTGCTTCACGTCTTAAAGAGGTGGATCCACGTACTGTGGTGAAGGATCGTGGCCGGAGAAGGTCTGGAGGTACGACTTCACTCTCTGTGGAACAGAGATGAGATACAATTGTCAGATTAGCTGCAGTATTTACTTTAAACACTATAGGTTGATTCAGTGGTTGACCATAGATTGACAAACATTGGACAATTAATGAGCCTGGCTCATATCAGAAAAACTAGCCAAAGATGATTTACTGATTTATAGGCCTAATCCAAACTCTATTTTTGACTGACTTCCGTGTGCCGTTGAAGGTAGAATAGTCTAGGAAATTTTCATATCCCTTGATTTCAAGTGTGGAAGACTCCATTTCGAGGGCTATCTAGCCCTTCGCCTTAGCCCTATGCCTTCAAGCTAAAGAAATTTGGGACACCCCTACCCCTTCACGTGAACGCACAAAATGAGGGGTAGGGCTAAGGGGAAGGTCTGAGGGGTAGAATTGGGATTGAGCCTTACTGTGCTGGTTTTCATTGGTTTAGCTACAGTACATTCCAGGTTGATATGATTCTGTTGTACAGCATCCATTTTGATCCCAAAGCCCCTTGTTTTCAAAACAATATTCAAAGTTCCTCTCATCTAAATTGATATGTATCTCTAGTATAGTGTCTTTGTTATTGGCGGGTCACAGTCCTACAAAAATTGTTCTAATCATAATTGAACACGTGAACCAAATAATCAAAGTCCTCAGACTCACTAGAAAATGTCCAGCCTGGAGTTGGTTTGAGATTGGACACCTGTGATTGTGACCATTTTAAGCTGGGTTGCTCTTTTTTATTCTCTTTTAATCGGCACTGTAAAGATTTGAAATCACTCTCGACTACTACAAAGACATTCGTGCAATGGAATACAACTAGCATAAATAAGAAACTTGAGTCCTTGTTATTGTTCACCTCTTTGGAGATCAGTCTGTGTAAAAGTGAGTTCAAGGCAGCTAGCGTAAATGTAGCGCATTACTATTTTACATAAGTGCTAATGTTGTTTCCGAACTTGCTGCCAGGGAGTGTCTCTTTACCATTTACACCAGTTACTTCAGCAACTTCTAGGAATAGAACATTGTAGTAATGCAATAGTATGCCAACATAGCGCAGCAGTCATAACATACCTAACCCTCCTCGCTCCGCTTGCTTAAAATAGTGCTAAATATGAATGAAACGCTGTGTTAGCAACATGCTGGTTGTACACCAAACTTAATTCCCCATTCCTAGTAGCCTAAAATAGCATATTACAGTATTTTAAAGGTAGGCTAGCTTAGCTTATCATAGCGCGGCATTCAAACAAGATGAAGACTGCCGTTCCCTCCGTTTGCAACTGATAGCCCCACTGGAGTGTGCCCCGTATTTAGACCTCATCTGTGCATTCGAAGACAGCCAGACCCCAGACAAAAATATTAGCACTAAAATTGACTTTCAGTGCTAATTAGCTTGTTAAAATTAGCTGCTCCTTTTAAGAGCCACACCACTGATAGGGAGAACTTTATTTAACCTACTCCATGAAATAGATTTTATATGAAAAAGCTTATATATCAGTACCATTTGTTGCATAGTAAAAAGTTTGGTCATGCTAACTTATTTAATATTTGCTTATTATTATAATTTTTTAACTCTATAGTGTTTTACATCACCATACTCACGGCACTGTTGCCTTTAAAGAGATGGTTAAACAGAGAAGGAAGTGACTAAAAGATAAAAAAAGGTGGAGGTCAAGAAGTGTGATAGAAAAAGATAAAATAAAAAGAGAGACTCGATTTCTCTTCCTGTGTCTGTCTTTATATATCGACAGTGACCCAGAGAGACTGTTGATTAGCCCTTGTCGCAGATAAACCCTCTTAGACCCAATTACAGTGTGTGTGCGCTTCTGTGTGTAAGTGGCTCGGCAAACAGTGAAAGAGACAGATCAAGAAAGAGTGGTTCTTCAACCCTCTATATTTAGCTCTGTAAGGACATAACTCATTTCCATCAGGATGAAGGACGTAAGAACTTAATCCCCAACATGCAAAGCTAACAGGTCAACAAATGACTTATTGCCTAATAATACACGAGGCCACTATACAAACAGCATGAAGCAATATCTGTGACACGGGCCAGCAAACGACTTATTCCCTAATCATGCGCAAGACTACTGTACAAATAGAATGAAGCAGTGTCTGACGAAATTGTTTTTCTTCTGCCATTCAGAATGCCTTTCTTTATCGACGCGGCTCAGGTGACAAAAAAGGGATTCCATTATCACCGTAGCGTTGAAATGCTTGCTTTGTACAGATAGGGTAAGTAAATGAAAGTGGGTTTGGTGATGCATTATAATGGACCACAATAGGCTCGAAATGGTTGCAGGCCAAGAAAGGCTACTAAAGTATAAGTCAACCCTACTTGTGCGAGGTCTTGAGCAAGTCCTTGCAAGTTTCAGCTTGAGAATATGGTGTAGCATCTAATACTGTAAAAAATTTTGCCTGTTCGCTTACACCACAACAGCTTTTTTGAAATTGAAAATACATGAATCTTCAAAGTTGAAGTTCTTGAAAATGCAGCCGTATATGTAAATATATTGTATGTAAATACTCATGTAAAAAAAAAAAACACTACAATGCTGGAGTACATGGTAGTGTTGTTGTTGCTTAACCAACAGTGGATCTGCATCTTGCATACATGGCAAATTTTATATACACATCAGCACCAATTCGTCAACAGCTTGTTGTCATTTCTTCTTTACAGATACTGTTTACTAACAATGTGACAGTGAGAAATACTGCCTTGGCATATTTAATACAGACATTTTGGCCATTTTTGCAGATGTGTAAATGCAAATGGAAAATGTTTTGAAACTTTTTTTACACAAAGGAAAAACTTTTCTTTATTTCGCTATATTTTTGTCATGCAAACCTAGCCTAACTTTCACAAGTGGAACATTGAACATCTGGAATCTCCAACCCTTTCTTAAAGCTGATCCATACTTCTGCATCAAGTGCATGTGTATGCTCCGGCGCAGCCTTTGCCTGGTCACATAGCCCTTGCCGTGGCTGACACTGGCGCTGATGTGCATCTCTCAAAAAATTTAACTACATATTGCAACGATGTATTGCTGACCAGCGTCAGTGGTGTTAAGAGCCGCGAGCCTGATAAAGGGAATGCTTACAAGTGTCAAGTCCCTTAAAGAAGCACCATATGGAAACTTTTGTTTTGTGTTTACCTTATGATTAAAGTTGATGCATGTTCCTGCCTCTGAATGAGCGAGTTTGAGCAACTTGCAGTGTTCAGCAAAAACAAAACACCCACAAAGAAACTCGACACAGAGGAACATAAAATCCTGTTGCCTGCTAGCATTTCAGAAGTGTTATTGCAGAGCAACACAAACACCATGCAGAAGTATAAATGCGCGACTACATGCAAGGCAGGTGCCGTAGGCCACGTAGATCACTTGATGCAGAAGTATAAACCAGCCTAAGCTGACTCAAGAGGCACCTTGTGTGAGATTCTGCTGCTGTAGCTCACCTGCTTCAAGTTTTGATATTTTGTGTGTTCATAGATGCTTTTCCACAAACCTCTGTTAACAAGTGATTATATGAGTTTTTGATGTTTTTGAGTCAGCTTGAAACAGCCTGGCTATTGTCTTTTGACCTTTGGCATCAACAAGCCATTTTGAAATGCCTAGAGAAATGCCACTCACTTGTTGATTACTACATTCAAGAACATTCTTGAATGCCAATGCTAAACCCTACAGAAGGTGTTCTGTGAAAATAATTGAACATCAGATGTTTGTGACCACTCAGAACAGCCTGTTTGGCGCCAACAAGCATGCAGAGTTACATATATTACCTTTCTTCCCCATTCTGATGCTTATTTCAAACTTAATCAGTTCGCATTCATCTACATCTATAACATTGCACCCACAACATCTACAACGTTGCACACATCTACATTAAAGTTGCTGCCCTGTGATTGGCTGAATGCATGTCTATATTAATGAACAACTGAACAGATGTAACTGGTACATTTTCTGTTCGTCAACTCTGTATCCCATTATTTAATCTCATATCTAGCATGATGAATCTGAGGCAATGTCTTTTGATTTTGCACAAATCTGTCTTTGTTGTCAAGTTCATTGTAGTGCTACATGATGTGCTATGAACGGCAAATCCGTGTCCCAAGATACGACTTAATTTTCTTTATTGATCTTTTGAGAACACTTTCCGGGAACTTCAAAGTGCCTTGGGAAGAAACAAGCGTGGTATAGCCTGTGCTAATTAGTGAAATATTAAACACTACTAAGGAGAGAGAGCATGGTGATGGCCCAGGGGCATTAACTCTAACAAAACTACAAAATTATTAAAGGCAAGACGGAGAAATAAACTAGAGTCATTTGTGGGCAAGAAAAATAAAGTCACTGGAGATAATGAAGACATTCAACACTTATAAACAGGCATGGTAATTGCTTGGTCAAACTTTTGTGAATAGGTTATCATGAAAACAAAAAACTCAAAACTAGCTAAGAAAATTGGTCATAACATTTTCTTTAAGTCTAAGTTGAAAGGTTAAACTAGAACCAGTATGTAGTTCTATGAATAAAATCTGCATGCATGATTTGCTTGTTTTTTATGCTTATTCTTTCTAATAACCAGTTGTGTTGAATTCAGATTAAAATTTGTTACATAAAACTGGCCTTAACAACTGAATAAACACTTTTATAATGCTAATGACAATGGCCAGATTTCAATACAGTATATGAGATATACCTATAAAGACTTTCTTATGGGGGGTTGGATTAACATGAGGGTGAATATATGATGACAGAATTGATCAAATTTTGGATACACTCACACTTTAAATGCATGGTTAAAACCCACACACAGCTGAACACACCCATTTGGATGGGGCAGAGAACCGAGTAATGACATCACCACAGGGGGTCTGGCCGGAGTGTGTCTGTTATATCAGGCTCATTAGAGTAAAGCCATGCTGTAAATAGGATTAATCCAGGCTTCAGTGGCCCACACTTGGCCTAATCCTGGAGGAACTGACGTAAGCCTAGAATCTAGTTTGAGCAGACATACA